TTTTTAATATTTATTTTTTAGTTTTCGGAGTACACAGCATCTTTGTATGTGGTGCTGAGGATGAACCCGGGCCACACGCATGCCAGGTGAGTGTGCTACTGCTTGAGCCACATCCCCAGCCCATTTTCTTTTGTTTTTCCAGGCAGGATAGGCAGAGTAGGATATCTGGAAAACCTGACTCAATTCACATTTTCAAAAACTATCCAGAAGAGAATGAATCCCCAGAATCCCCATTAATATTTCTTAAATGGTTATCCCCTTCTCATCAGGGGCATGTTATTTCTTCCTAAAATAAACTCTTGGTTAAGAAAACCTTGATCACTTTTTTTTCAGGGTTAGGGATAGGCTCTTCCACATTGCTTGCACACATAAGGATTTTCTGCAGTGTGAATTATTTTATGTCTTCTGACTAAATAGGAACGAATGAAAGCTTTCCCACAGGGTTTGCAGGTATAGTGAATTTACTATAGGTACAGTGAATTTGTTCATATATTCTAACGGAGCTGCAAGATCTAAAGCCTTTTCCACATTGCTAACATATGTTAAGGTTTATTTCTAGTGTGAATTTTTTCATGTGTTCTCATTGAACTGTAACGACTGAAAGCTTTCCCACATTGTTCACATGTATAGGGCTTCTCTCCACTGTGAATTCGTTCATGTATTCTAACAGAGCTGGAAGAACTAAAGCCTTTTCCACATTGCTTACATACGAAGGGTTTTTCTCCAGTGTGAGTTTTTTCATGTCTTCTGATGGCATAGGAATGAGTGAAAGCTTTCCCACATTGTTCACAGGTATAGGGCTTCTCTCCACTGTGATTTAATTCATGGATTTTCATGTGGCTAGAAGTACTAAAGCCTTGTCCACATTGCTTGCATACATAAGGTTTCTCTCCATGGTGCCTTATTTCATGTATTTGAAGGGTTAGGGTTGGGGTTAGGGACTGAGGCCCCGGTCCTTCCCCAGCGACTCACCCATTCCCTCCACCGCAACCCGCTCCCCTTCTGAGAAGGGCGCCCTCCACACTCACCATTGCCCTCCTTCTGGGGTTCCGGGGTCGCCTCAGCCCGCAGAGGGCGGAGGTCACAGAGAGGAGGCTCAGCCACTTAGAAGTTCTTTCCCAACACCTGCGACACACCTACTATGGTGGCTCCAGGAAGGAAGCTGTTCAAAAGCGAAAGGTTCCCGCCGTCTTCCAGCTGCGTTCCTGATTGGACAGTTCCTGAAGCCCCACCCCATGCCTCTGATTGGGTCGTGATCCAGGACCTGCCCCTGAACCCTGAGTGACAGCAAAAGAAAATCTCCCTCCTGGCTGAATGGAACCCAAGAGATGGTTTCCAGCTGCAGCCCTTCCCAGCCTGAGCTTCTTCCCAGGGCCTGGATCTGAGCTAATGGGAGGGATAATTGCATGGATCCATTTAGGTCCACCCTCCCAGGTCTGGAAACACCTATAAAAGATAAATATAGTATACAATATGTAATACAATTTTATAAAATATTACCATATTATATTAATATGGTTAACTCATATTACATAATTTAAAATCATTATAAAATTGAAAATTTTGGATTTAATAGATTAAAGCAAAATTCGATCTTAGCCCTTCAGAACGGGTGTTTTCTCAGCATACTCCGTGGGCTCTTCCTGTTTCTTGCCCCTGTGATTGAGGTAACAAAGTGTACTCAGGCAGTTCCAGAAGCAATGTCCATGGAGATAACATCCCATGTTAGAAAAGGACATCTTGTCAGAGGCGGTGGCACATGCATTTAATCCCCACAGCCGGGCATCTGAAGCAGGAGGACTGCAAATTCCAAGCCAGCCTCAGCCACTTAGTGTAACTCTTTCCCCAATAAATAATTTAAAAAAGAACTGGGCAGGTGGATCAGTGGTTAAGCACCCGGGTTTAATCACCTGTACCAAAAAAATAAAAGGACATCCACCCAGACTACCACGACATAATGGAACAGAAGGGAATGAGGCAGTGCCTCATATTGTCAGAGGTCAGACATTTGGAATGAGACAGCTGGCTTCATAGCCAAGACTTTCTTTGCCTTTTCTTTAGTTACCCACTTTCACCCAAGAAAATAAAAACATACCTACAGGGAAGTATACTTATTCAATTCAGGAGGAAAATAAACTTATATGGAAGCAACGTTCTACAAAGAAATCAAGAGGGAATAGAAGGAAACATTTGAACTCCGACACCAGCCTGCTCCACATGAGGCCATAAGAAAAACTTAGTCTCAGAAGGTTAAACATGTTCACAAGCTTGAGGGCCAGGATGATAGCTTGCTGAATCCAAGTTTTCAGAGTGGGACACTCCTGAGTTCTGAGGCAGGACACCTAAAGATTTCACTTGGGGAGCCACCATGGCCAGCTGTCCCCTCCTCATGGTGTGCAAACTCTCCATCCTTCAAGACCTGAATATTCACTTTAGACACTGTCACTTGACTCACTTTCATGACCCTTTCTCAGGAGATCTTTAAATCTTCTTTCTCTAATGCTATTCCTCATACATTTTCTTCATATGAACAAGTTACAGACCATCTCCAGCAAGCTACACATTTGAACTCATAAACCAACCAAAATCACTGTCTCCAAAACAGCCACAGTGAATCATGAGTCTCCACTTCAGAAAGGAAGCAGCCTCAAGTCCACCTACAAAGGGTGCTCCTGCTTCCCAGAGCTCTGCAGCTTCTCACTGTCACCTCGCCCTCTAGTGTTGTGCTCAGCAGCAGCAGGACACCTACAGGAAAGGGCTGCAGGAAGCATCAAGGGGAATTCAGTGCCTTCTCTTTCCAGGCTAGACACAGTCCAGTGTGTAGGAAGAAAGGAAATGCTTTATTGCAAAGTGAAAAATACATATTCCAAGCTGCGAGTGGGTTTATTCAAAAGCTGAGCAGCTCAACAGTTAGACTGCGGACTATTGTAACACAGAGTAGGGGTCTGGGTTGTCTCATGAATTCTAAGAATGAAATCTATGGACAGAACGGATTGAGAGCAAAGCAACAAGTTCATTGGGCAGAGCTCCCAAAGAGGGAGGGAAGCCAATGGGTGGCTGTTGTCTAGGGTGTTATGATCTTGATCTGTCCCTATAGGAGACTGGTTAGATGACATAAAAATACAGGATTTAAAAGGGGGCTCATCAACTCTATTTTGTCTTCTTCAACAAACACAGAGACAATAGTTTTCAAGCCTTTCCTAGCATAAAGGTTGGGGTGAGGGTTTGCTGGCACTAGAGAAAGTGATGTAGAGAAGGTATTATGTGATTTATGTTGTTAGGCATAGCGGGAGGAGGAACTCAGGATGAGCTGTTGCAGTTGAAGCTGTCAAGGGCAGCAACAATACATCCCCCAGGCTAGGATGGCATGGTCTCTTCCTCCTTTTATTCTGAGACCCTTTTCTGGTTGCCTATGGGTGGTCTCTATTTCTGTCTCCTTATGAAATTTAGGGTTGATCTTCATTTTAATATTCACAAGTAGGGTTGATTATGGATGCAGTGCCTCAGAATAGGGTGGCCCTTATGGAACCCCACTCAACATCATTAGCATGTAATTATGCAGCTAAGGGGTGTGGGAGGACATATGGTAACAAGTCATAATAAGCAAAATGTAGAGGTCAGCTTTCTTCTTAGTGCACCTCCCGGAAAAGCAATTGAAGGCTTGCTCAAGGTACACATTGCTCAAAGTGTGGTCCCTTGTGGCTAGGGAGACTATTGTCTTTTCCAAACTAATGCAGGTGGGATACCTGTGCATGAACAGGAGGCCTGATGCCAGCAAGATTCCCAACTACTCCCCATATTTAGAATCTGGCAGGAAGCCTTATGCCAATGGAAATTCTGTTGTCGAGTAACTGCCCACTGAGCAAGACTCTGTGCCTGCACCTACTTCCTTGTTTCCTGTCTCATTCGTTCCCTTCTCCAGAGACTCTGATATCTTATTTAGGATTTGATAAAGGGGGATGGTCCATCTTCCAGAGATGCCTCAGCTGGAGTAGGACAATATCCCTGCCTAGCCAGGAACCAAAGGTGTCCGATTGCCTGGACTCGGTGGAGGGGATGCTGGCAGCTTTGGGGTGGGGTGAGGGTGGAGCGTCTGGTGTAGGGAAGCCTAAGTCTTGACCCAGCATTTTCTTAATCTCAAGTTTCTGTCTCCAAGAGACATATTTTACCAGGAGATGAAGATCAGAGCCCAAAGTAGGAGAAATATAGCAACCAAATATCCTAATCATGGTAAGAGCCAGGTGAAGCTAGTCAAGGAAGCCTCATAGTTTGGCATAGAGCCCAGCACTGCCTGGGGAAGCAGTTGTAAGCCAAGTATTTACAAAGATTTACTTTGTAAAGTCTTATCAGCTATCAGCACTGGTTTCTGGGTTCAGACACACTGACATGAAAACAGCAGGTGGTACTTGCCAGAGCCCAAATCCACCTTCCTGAGGCAAAAAATAATCTCTTATTTTGTAACACCAGATGAGTTAACGAGACCATGGAATTTGGTAGCAATTGAATGTCTTGTCCAGTTTTGATGGCAATGTCTCTTGTGGTTTCTGAGGTGTCATCAATCCAGAAAGTGATTTAATTCAGGTGATTCCCCAGCTACAGTTAGACTTGGACCTCTCTTGTCCAGTTCCTGTGTAGCATAGAGATGGTATCTCAGTGGTCATTGGTGAAAATGTGTATTTTGTCAAGCTGAAGAGAAGATACATCCTACTCCCCATGTTTGAGACACCTCTTTTCAATAATGTGTTATGGTTTCCATGTCATAGAAGCCTCCAAGGTTTTGTGCCTGTGTCACAAAAAAAAACATTTTCCCAGGTAATCACACAAGCCTGTGTTCAGGAACAGCTTCTGTCTTATCATAGGAGCCGCTGAGGTGTCACAAGTTCATTTACTTAACAGGCTGGTGTGTGAGTTCCTTTTCCAAATCTTTAAAACAATGACATCCCTTGGTTGAATTTGTGGTACAGCAGAGCTGGAGTCAGAAACTGAGTGGACTTTATTTCTGAACTCCAAAGGGCCTTTTGCACTTCTTTCAAATTGATTTTATATCTGACAGCTTCTTGTATCTTAGCATCAGTGACAGGGTCTAAGTCACAAATGGCCTCCCATACAGCATTTCACAATGGCTCAGCTGGAGAGAAGTTTTGGGGGGCCACTCTGATTATTCACAGCCCAATAGGCCAAAGTTGTCCTAAGGGTTTGGGGGTTTCTTTCAAGGTGATTTTAATCAGTAGATTGTCCCTTTCCACTCGTCTGACAATTGAGGTAAGGGTGTAAAGATGTAAGAGGTGCTCAATGCCCATTAGGTCTCCTGCATCACCCAGGAGATAGAGGCCCAGGATCACTCTGGAGTGACCCAGGGATCCAACCTGAGGATAGTTTCCTTTCATAGAGCTCTAGTGACCTGTTGGGCCTTTTGGGTTCAGGTGGGGTATGCTGCTATTCACCCAGAAAAGGTTATCAGCAAAACCAAGAAGGTGTTCACATCCTTACCAAGGGGGAGGGAAATGGGGAATGCACCTCATTCCTGCAGAGGTTAGGTAAAGGGGGTGGTTTGGTCACCCACACCCCGACTCTGCTGGTATTACACAGGTGTGGAACAAACTCTTATAGCATCTTGAATGGAAGAGGTGACATCTTTCCCCACAAAAAGGTCTGAGTGACCAAAGTCATCAGTGCCTCCCTAAGCAACAAGTCATGTCTTATGATCTCTTTAGTCCCCCAGCCATCTTCTGCTGCTTCTGTCCCCATTGTTTGCCCATCCCTCCTCCATCTTTGACTAAGAGCAGGATGCACGCAAGATTGGGGCCACGGGCATTAGGCCATTTCTGAAGCACTGGGATCTATAAATGTACTCCCTGCATTCTGTGTGAACCACCATCTTGGGGGTCCCCTGACCTGCATGGACACTGCCTGAGTAACCATACTGCTTCCAGGAGGGGGACAGTTTCAGATCCATGTTTTTATGTTCAACTGGGTTTTTTTTCCCCCTCCTGTCAGGAGTCCCCGTTCCTTCTATATTGTCATGTGAGCATGAAGACCTAGGAATGCACACCTACAGTCAGTGTAGATTTCTGACTCAGCCGCAGGAAAGCTGGTTATTTCAGTTTTGTTGAGGAGCCTGGGGAAGAGGTCTTGCTTCTGGGATGGAGTGGCACAGTCTGCCCTCCTGCTCCCTCCCCCAAGGAATATTTCCCTGTGTCAACCAGTCCACATCAGAGTTGGTCAAATGTTGGTTCCATCCCAGAAGCAAGGCCTTCTAGGGTGAACCTTTTCTGGGGTCTCCATACAGGGATGAATGAAGTCATCTTCTTCCTCTGGGGAGGGAACCAGGGTTGCCAGGTTTTCAGTTAGGCAAACATTAGGAAAAACCACAGGGGATTCCAATAGGACGCCTGGGGCTTGGACAGTCATCATCCAGTCAGGGGTCTGAACCTCCAGTGTGTATCCCAGGGTTAGTTTAATGACCTTTTCCACCAGAAGTCCTGTGGTGACCATGGTACATAGGCATTGAGGCATGCACGGGATGCAGAATCGAACTGATTAGAAAATTAAGTTACAGGTCGAGGTATGTATGAGAGAAAGGGTTCATCCAAGTCAGGATCCCCCCAGCTGCAACAGAAAGCAGTTAAGTTTTGAACTCCATTTCCCTGTCCAGCCCAGCAGTACAGTTGGGACCCAGAGTAACCTCAGAGTAGCTTGGCCAAGTTCAAAACCAGGGATCTACCTTCTACAAAATCCGGTCATTTCTAGGAAGGCTCTGAGTTTTCTCTTGGTGTGGAGTAGTTCTACCATTTAAAGGACTCAGGGGTGAAGAGTTATTTCCTGTGGAGTTAGGATATGGCCTACATATCTTAGTTTTTGCTGGGAGAGTTGGGGATTTTGTGGAGACACCAGTACACCGGGACCCCTAAGAAATTAAGAACTGCCAGGCATGGTGGCACATGCCTGTAATTCCAGTGGCTCAGGAGGCTGAGGCAGAGGATCATGGGTTCAAGGCCAGCCTCAGCAACTTAGCAAGGCCCTATGTAACTCAGCAAGACCCTGACTCTACATAAAATATTAAAATGCTGGGGATGTGGCTCAGTGGTTAACCATCCCTGGTACAAAAGAAACTAAGAACTGACAGCAATTTTTGTAGGGATGCAGATAAGGAGATAATTATCGAAGAGCTCCATTTCTATTACTTAGTAAGCTGCAGTTCTCTTGTTAGGCCATTTCTAAATAGGTGGGAATTGTGCTTGAGTACCTGAAGCAGCACCACCTAAGTGTATCTAGTGGTTTCTGCTGGAGAAGGGTCAGTCCACTCAAAGCAAACAGGTATTTCGAGTCAGAGTATAATGGAATAAGAAAGGTGGTTTTACTATTGTTGAGGTCAAGGAGACACTTGAATCATCCAGGCCTACTGGTAAACAAGTCAAATCAGTGTATAGGTTTGGGACTGTGGGATGGAGTGGGATAACAGCCTCCTTAATTGAAGGAAAACCTTGGAGTAGAATATTCCCCATTTGGTTTTAGTGCTGATAGAATCAGGAGACTGGCAATGAATGTCATCCCTTTCCCAAGTTATTTCTGTGACCTTTTCATTATTTATTTGTTTGCTCATGCACATTTTCATTCCTTTAATTAAATGTCATGTGATTCGATGAGAAAGGTTGGTGTTGGGAGCTGTCTTGGATACAGATGCCTTTAAGTCCTGATGTCCCAAGCCACTGAACAATTATTACCTTCAGTCTGGACGACAGTGCCAGGTCACAGTAACTTGGGGGGGCGTTACCCCAGCTTGGATAACAAGGCATGCTCCAGGAGTAGGTGTCACCCTCCGGGGTTGAGTTACACTCACCTGTTCCTTTGTAATCCTACCCCTTTGCCCTTTTGGGGATAGAATATTCCATGGAACAGCCTCCTACAATAAACCCTGGGTTCGAGGCATGCTGTCTTGCCACCTATGTGGGAGCTGGGTCAGAGGAGCCATCACAGAACCCAAAGGAAAAGGTATTTCTCTGACTCTGTGTGATTCTTTCGTGTCAGCCTAGTTCATCTCGAGTGACCCTGGCTGGTGTGGTTGTGTACTGAAACAGGGTGGTATACCCTGGCTGCCAATCCAGTTAGGATCCTGGGTGTATCCTGCAGTAGTTCCTACTCCCTGACTGAAATCCAGGGTCACTACACCTTCAGCATAAGCCTGAGCCTTGCCCCAGGCATGAACCTTCTCCTCTAGGGTACAGTAGGCGGACAACACTAAAAACAGGTCACCCCAGGCAAGATTAAAGGTCACAGCACCTGTAACTAATCAATTTGCCTCAATCCCATCAGATCATCATTAGTTTTTGTTTGCATCAAGTCTAAACTATAGAAAGGGGAATATACCCAAGTGATACCATCTGCGTTGGAGACTTCCTAGAGTGGACACATGGTAGTTGTTCTGGGGCCCCACCAGGAAGTGAGGTATATGTCTGAGGACAAATAGGTGGGGCAATTGGATTGAATGGCACTGAGAAGTGACTGGGGGTCCCCTTACGTGGGAGAGGCTGGACTCCCAGCTCCACAGGCCTGCTGTGTTGACACACAACATTTTCACTCAGAACATTCTTCCTGGCTTCTGGCAAGGAACATGACTACAGCCCAGAGTCCTGGTACAAGACCATGAAGGTCTGGACATAAGGAACTTCTGTCCAGTTTTCCTCTCCCTTGCAGGAGATTCAATTGCAGCCTTGTATTTTAATTCAGAGATCCATTGGGAGGTCAAATTTCCCCAATTCCCAATTGAGATCTTGAAGTACTGTAAGACAAAACCAACCTTTTTCTTGAATCTGTGAACCTTAGATGATGAGCCATTTATCTTACATGTGGTTTACTTTTCTAATCAACCCCAAAGGAGCTGGGCACTGTGGTATATGTCCGTAATCCCAGTGACTGGAAAGGCTGAGGCAGGAAATTCAAGGCCAGAGCTTAGCAAGACCTTCTGTAATTTAGTGAGATCTGTCTTGGAATAAAAAATTAAAAAGGCCCAGGAATATACTTAGTGGTATACTTACTGTCTTTGGATTCAATCCCTACTACAAAAAACAAACAAAACAAAACCCCAAAGGGGAACTGGCTAGGATGGGTGAGGTGAGGCATCAACCATTTTGAAAAAGCTCAGATTGGTAATGAACTGGTATTTAAACCTTCTTAGGCTTGAAAGAGAAAAAAAACAAAAAACAAAAAACAAAAAACAAAAAAACCCCACAAATGATCATCTCCTGAAGAGATCCTTGCCCCTATGGACAAAGTTCAAGAGCAATCTACTGTGGATTTGGCCTACACAGGTCTGGCTTGCGATCCTCCTGAAGGTTAAGGATGTTAGACATCCCTAAACATAATACTGTGGTACCCAAGTACTCCTAGAGACCAGAATCTGCTTAGCATTCTCAAAGCCCATTTACAAGAGCCACAAAGCTCCATCAGGGTTCTTGAAAAAAGAACAATGTCAGAATAAAAGTCAGTTTTGGTGGGCCCTATAAAAATCTTGAATGCAATTTTCAGTAATGGAAATAATTTATATTCATCCTTATAATTATTCATATGGTTCAGCAGGGTAAAAGGACAAATACCCTGAACACTCCCCCAAATATTTGGTGAGAGGTTTGAGGAAAATAGGAGCTTTCTAATGGAAAAAATTTGGACTTAGTGACTATCTTATCCCCACACCACTGCCAGAGCAATCGAGGATGCCAAGTCGGCCAGTGTTGTGATGGAAGGAGAGGAAGTGGGCAGGGAAGCTAACTCCTGGATAAGGTGAGAGCAGGGATCTACCAGAAAATGAGTCCAAGGGCAGAGACCTTTAGTGTGTGAGAGAGGAGAGTTATCTTCTGTAAGATTAGGGTGGGGGTGATTCCAAAGATGACCACGGAAAGTCAAAAAAGATTGTCCTCCCGAAAGCTTAGTAACAAGCCTTTGCAAGTAAATGCAAAAGCTTGAAAAGGTTGAGTTTCAGAGTCAGAGCAACGTGAGCAGCATCCATTGAACAGGATCAGGTACGTTTTCTCTAGATGCCTTAAAAAACAAACAAACAACAACAAACTAATTTAGGGGCTGGGATTGTGGCTCAGCAGTAGGGCGCTCGCCTAGCACGAGTGGGACCCAGTTCAATCCTCAGCATCACACAAAAATAAAGGCATTGTGTTGTGTCCATCTACACCTCAAAACAAAACAAAACAAAACAAACCTGATTTAATGGACACGTCTTCTGTCCCTCAAGACACTGGTGATCAACCTGTGTGTATCGTCCCACATGAGCCAGGGATGTTCCTCACACCCAGAAATGAAGTGTTCCTTTGGGGCTTCCCTGAGAGGGTGCTGCAGATGCAGGGTGTTTCCCCTCACATGTTCTCCCTGTTGAGCTGGAAGGAATGATTGCTTACAATCAGGCACTCACAGACGTTCCAAACTAGAAGAGGCAAGGCTACAATGATTTAAGAGGAAACAAAACAGGCAAGGGGGGGGGGGCAGAAAATTTATCTAGTGAAGGGATAGCAGACTAAATAGAATATGCTAGAAAAAAGTTGGCCACTCACCAGTTTGTGCTGTTGCCTTCAATTTACTACCTGTTGGCTTGCCAAGGAAGGAAAACTGTCACCAGTTAGGGGTTTGCAGAGTTGTCCAGACAGAGCAGACCTCCACTGAAATCTTTCTAGGTTCCTGACTATGCCATCAAATATAATTTTATTTATGTCTTTATATTGGGGAATGAATCCAGGGGCATTTAATCACTGAGCTACATCCCTAATCCTTTTGTATTTTTTGTGATAGGGTCTCCTAAAGTTGTTTAGGGACCAAGATGCTGGAGCTGGTCTCGAACATGTGATCTTTCTGACTCAGCCTCTTGAGCTACTAGGATTACAGGCATGCCCAACCACTAAAAAGAATTTAAGGACACGTCAGGTTATAGCAAAAGAACAACTGTTTTGTTGCAAAGGGAAGGTACACATACTAGGAACAGCATGCAGACATACCCGAAAGCTGAGCAGCTCCAGTGTTAGAAGGGCTGTGGTTGTTTAGAACTGATAGTAACATCAGGGGTTGACTATTTGGAATAGGGAGGTAACTTCATGGAACTCCACTCAACTCATTAGCATATAATTATTCAGCTAAAGGGAGAGGGATTACATATGGTAATGAGCCATAATAAGCAACAAGGTAAAGTAGAGGTTACATTGACTCTCGGTGCACCTGCATGAGAAACTACTTGGAGCTGGCTCAAAGGTGTTATCAATCTGGGGTTGTATGGATATCTTTTTGCTCAATTACAAGCTAACAAGATATCTGTGTTGAAAAGGAGGTCTGATATCAGTGGGATCCAAGCCTGGTGCTAGCAGAATCTACACCTACCCCCATAACTACAGTTGAGAAGGAACATAATGCAGTTGCCTGACAGGTAAGAACTCTTGCATGGCCCCAATAAAAAGTTTTAGCTGAGCCAGTGGTACACACCTGAAGGTCCAACTACATGGAAGGCTGAGCCTCGACAACTTGGACATATTCCAAAATGAAACAGGTCTGGGGATATGACTCAGTGGTATAGCACTTACCTATAAAGTATGAGGCCTCTGTACTAGAAAAAAAGAAAGAAGAACATTTCTTAGTCATCAAACTATATGCTCTACAGGGCAAATATGGCAATTTGATTTTGCAGGGCCCTTGGGCTAAGATTGGTTTCACAGATACCTATAATCAATTTGATAACAGGGAAGACTTAATTTTGAATTAAGGAAAGGGAATTAGTATCTGAGAATTTCATTCTTCTCAATAGATCTATACCCACCCCAATAGTACTCAATTATTATCAATATATTTTGAGAACTGAGTGTGGTGGTGCACGCCTATAATCCCAATGGCTCAGGAGGGTGAGTAGAAGGATTGCAAATTCAGTCAGCCTCAGCAACTTAGTGAGGCCCTAAGCAATGTAGTGAGACCCTGTCTCAAAAAAATAAAGGGCTGGGGATGTGGCTTATTTTTTGAGCACTCCTGGGTTCAAGCCATGATACAAAACAAACAAAAAAAGTATATATATTTGAATTTTTCCAATAAAATTTAAGAGTAAAAAAAAAAGATAGGAAAAATATATTAATCTATAAATTGTTTGAAAGAATTAAGAAATTCTTTATAAAAAATCTACAGAAATCTGAAGAAAATATATTATCAAAAAGTAAAAAACCTAAAATGTAAAAATGTCATTTGTTTCCTGAAAACGTACACACACACACATACACACACACACACACTTACATAGTTCAAAATGAAAGAAGACTTACCATCCAGTTTGATTTAAAAAGACAGTTACCTATTAAACTCATATATTAATACCTAATCAAAACTTGCAGAAGTATACCACCTCAAAGTTTATTTTCAAGAATAAAAATAGAAACACACAATACAGAGATCTACTTTTAAGAATGAATTACTGGAGCAGGCATGGTGGCACACACCTATAATCCTAGCGACTCGGGAGGTAGAAGAATTCCAAGTACAAGACTAGCCTGAAACTTAAGCAGACCTTGTCACAAAACAAAAGGTAAAAAGGCCTGGGGATATAGCTCAGTGGTAAAGCATCCCTGGCTACAATCTCCAGTAGCAATATGCATCACACTTTTTTTTTTTCCCTTGCACTGGGGATTGAATCCAGGGGCAGTTTACAACTGAGCTATATCCCCAGAATTATTAATTAGTTTTTCAGAGAGGACCTTGACCTGGGGATCCTCATATCTCAGCCTCCTGAGTTTTTGGGCAATAGCAGTGAGCTGTAGACTAATGCATGTGAGTATATGTGAGATAGGTTTGGCTCAGCTTTGAGGTTCACTAGGTGTATTAAATGCATTTGTTCACTTATGTGTTAACTTACCATGGGTTTATCAGAATGGAACCATATCAGTAGCTAATTTATATTTATGGAGAACATTGTACAATACATTGTAGGAAATTACTATTTAGATAGTAAGTAAAAAAGGCAAAACCAGATCCTGAAACCTGGAGTCAAATTCATATTCCAGCCAATTATGACACATACTTCTGACAATGTGCCTGTAAAACTGGTGAAACAGAACATATTCTGAATCATGAAAAGGAGCAAAGTTTCCCTTTTCTCACTGAAGTGACTGGTACATCTCATGAATTAGGGTTCCCTTCACCCCATTATTGCTGCCTTCCAAGTCAGAAACTATTATGGTTACCAGACAGGAGTGCACTCAACCCTGCCAGTGCATCTAGTAGATGGAGATGCCTCACTATACATAAATAATCATTTGTGATGAAGAAAGTAATTACTGCAATTCAATACATTCTATATGACAAAGGTATATTCTGGCAGTCTCTGGCAAGAGTCCACTCACAATATCAAAATGTCTTTTGGGGTTTGTTGAGTGAAGGACAAATTATGATAAAAAGAAAAGCTATAAAACTATAACATATAAGCAGGAAGAATGAAAATTAGGTGGGAAAATAATCTTTAGTTGTATACACATGATAATGTATATTGACATGAAAGGAAATACAACTCACACACTTGATTTATCAGTGATTATGATGGGCTATTTACAGGTATTTTCTCAGTAAATAAAACATTGTAAAGAAAACACTCTAGCAGAGTTTTGTTATGACTACATTTTTTCCTTTTGTTAGTCTCTATTCATATCCTTATGACAAAGTTAATGTTGCAATCATTTCAAGGTAGCTTTATACTCAATAAATTTTTTTGGGGGGGACACTGGGGATTAAACTCAGGGGCAATCAATCACTGAGCCACATCCTCAGCCCTATTTTATATTTTATTTAGAGACTGAGTCTCACTGATTTGCTTAGTGCCTTACCATTGCTGAGAGTGGCTTTGAACTTGCAATCCTCCTGCCTCAGCCTCCCGATCCCCTAGGATTACAGGAGTGTGCCATTGCCCCCAGCCTCAATAGTTTTTGTTATTACTCACAGAATTGACAAAAACAAAAATCCATAACAAGGAGGAAAACAATAAGCAAGTAATAAAAACAGTGAATCTGAATACTTTGGTTAACCTTCAAGTAAGTCTCTAACATAAGCACAGAGTCAGTATGCTGAACATGATGGCACACATGTATAATCACAGTGAGCTGGGAGGCTGAGGAAGGAACATTGCAAATTCCAAGCCAGTCCAGGCTGGTAATGTGGCTAAGTGAAAGGGGCTCCAGGTTTATTTCCCAGTACAGGTGAGGGAGGGGTGAGGAACTACAACAAAACCAGAAAACAACAGCCTGGTGTAGTGGTGAATGCCAGTAATCCTAATTCTAAATATATTTATATGCACCCAGTATCACATATATTTATATCAAACATATAAAGTAAGTATTAGTAGACCTAAAGTAAGAAATAATATCCAAAACCGTAAAAACTGGGTGGCAGAGGCAGGATGATCACAAGCTTGAGGCCAGCCTTGGCCACTTAGCCAAACCCTGCCTCAAAATAAAATTATAAAAAGGGCTTGTGATATACTTCAGTGGTACGTGCCTCTGGGTTCAATCCCCAGGTCTACAAAATAAGTGAATAAAAAACTAGAGGGCCCCTGAGGGCCCCTGGATTTAATGCCTGGTACAAAAACAAAAACAAAAACAAACCCTCGATAATTACCATAACAATAAGATTGATATTCAATTAAAAGACAGAAAGAATGAATGGATTAAAAAATGCCCAATATGTTATATGAAACTCATTTAAACTATAAGAAGACATAAGACTGAAAGTGAGGGGATGGAATAATATATTCCACTCAGTAAGTGGAAGCCAAAAGAATGCAGCAGTGGCCAGACTAATTTCAGATAAACTTTAAATAAAAAGCAGTAAAGAGACAAAGGTATTAGATAATGACAAAGGTGTCAATTCAGAAAGGAAAAACAATTCTAAATATATTTACATGCACCCAGTATCACATATATTTATATCAAACATATAAAGTATTAGTAGACTTAAAGTAAGAAATAATATCCAATACCATAATATTTCCACACTGAACAGATCACCCACAGAAAATCAACAAAGAAAGAGAATTAGCCCTAACACACTACAGAACCTTTGATTGACAACTGCTGAAAAATTTTTCTCAGTAGCATATGGAACACTCTACAGAATAAATGAGGTGAGAGGTCATAAAATAGTCACAACAAATTCTAAAAATGTAATATATTTAATAAAGCTAGAAATCAGTAACAAAAAAGTAAAAACCTTTGAAAACTATACACACATGTGGAAATTAAATGACTTAACTTTTGAAAACAACCAAAGTACTGAAGAAATTAAGAAGGAAATTTTAAGAATTCCATTGAAACAAATAAAAATGAAGACACAACATATCAACAACACAGATGTTTATAGCAGTCAATGCCCAAATAAAAAAATGGACAAGTATCTCAAATAATCAAGCTATTCCTGCATCTCAACCAGAAAAAGAACTAAACCCAAAATTAGTAGAAGGAACGAAATAACAAATATCAGATCATAAATAAATCAAAGGGACACTAAAGAAATACAAAAAAGAAAAACAAAATCAATGAAACAAACAGATGGTTCTTCAAAAAGAAAAGACAAACCATTAGCTAGACTAAGAAAAGGAGAAAACTCAAATAAAACTGAAGATGAAAAGGGAAACATTACAATTGATACCACAAAAATATAATACATCATTAGACACTGTTAAGCACTACTATATGCAAACAAAGTTAATAATCTAAAAGAAATTCCTAGACACAACACCTTGCCCAGACTCACTGTCAAAGAATTAGGAAAACCTGGAGCTGGGGTTGAGTATTTGCCTGGCATGTGTGAAGCACTGGGCTTGATCTCAGCACCACATAAAAGTAAATAAATAAAGGTATTGTGTCCATCTACAACTAAAAAAAAAAAAAAAAAAATTAAATTAAATTTAAAAAACAATAATTAGGAAAACATGAACTAACCAAAAGCAAGTAGCAAAATTGATGGGGCTAAGGCTACAGCTCAGTAGTAGTATACTAGCATAACATGAGCAAGGTCCTGAGTTCAATCCCCAGTACTTCAAAAAAAGAAAAATAAATAGGAACAAGATTCAAGCAGAGGAGGGGTGGGGAGTAAGAGCCTTCCATCAAACAGGTCAGGATCAGAGTGCTTCACTGTTAAATTTTATCAAATATTTAAAGAACTTTTACCAATTCTCCTTAAGTTATTCCAAAAGAATAAAAAATAAAAAAGAAGAAATAGGAAGAATACTTCCAAAGACATTCTCTGAGGCCAGCTTTATTCTGATAGATAGGTATCCATCTGTGTTGAACACAGATGCAAAATCCTCAACAAAATACCGGCACACTGAATTCAACAGCACATTAAAAAATTATTCACCATGATCACATTTTATTCATTGCAGGGATGAAAGGATGGCTTAATAAACACAAATCAATAAAGCTGATAAAGTAAGAGCTGTGGTTGTGGCTCAGGGGTAGAGTGCTTGCCTAGCACGTCCGAGGCCCTGGGTTCAATCCTCAGCACCACATAAAAATAAATAATAAAAAGGTATTGCATTCATTTACAACTAAAAATTAATATTAAATAAATAAAGCTGAT